GAAATATACTTTTGTGGCTAGTTTTTTGCTATGGTCGTTGGAGTCACAGAAGAAGACCCGTGTGTCCAGGAATTCAACAGTAAGTGGTTGTAGGTTGAGTTCAAGTTTTATTTTGGGATGGTGTGTGTTAAGAGTGTGGAGAAATGAGAGGAATTCTGCTTCTGACCTGTTCCAAAGACCAAAGATGTCGTCTAGGTATCTGAAGTAAAGTAGGGGTTTTATGGAGGTTTTGATGGAGGCTGTTTGTTCCCAATGTGCTAAGTAGATATCGGCGTATGATGGTGAGTATTTCCGTTCCATAGCGCAGCCGTGCAGCCGCACAGCTGGAGATAGTGGTTGCTGTCGAACATGAAGTCGTTTCTAGTGAGTGTGAGTTCTAATAACTAATATTTCATTGTCGGGTCTGGAAGGATCTGGGTGTTTATTGAAAATATTCTGAATGGCAGCGAGGCCGAGTGGAGTTTCTATGTTAGTATATAGTGAATCTATGTCAATGGAAAAAAGGAGAGTGTGGCTGGGTACCTGCAGGTTTTTTATTTTATTAACAAATTCATATGTGTCTTTTATATAACTAGGGTGGAGTTTTGAAAGTGGGTTGATGAAATGGTCTATGTATTCCATTATTCTATATGATTCTGATCCGCAGTCGCTGACAATAGGGCGGCCGACCGGAACAACAGAAGGGACCATCCACGTCTCAGGAGGCTTATGGATCTTCGGGAGGAGATAGAAGAGGTGGGGCCTGGGCTCATCTGGGCCGTCCAAGTATCTTTTCTGTTTTGCATTAATGTTTTTTATGGTATAGAGTGTCTGTGATGTTCCTGATTAATATTTGTGTTTCTAATTGTAATGAATGTGAAAGTGGTTTGTAATAAATGGTATTGTTTAACTGTCTGAGTACTTCTAATGTATAATTGTTCTTATCCTGTAAAACTATTTGTCCCCCTTTGTCTGCTGGTTTGATAATTATGTGATTGTTATTACCTAGTGATTTAATTATTTGTTTTTGTTGCTGGGTTATGTTCTGCTGTCTATGTGGGAGGGGGCGCCATTTCCTTAGTGCTTGCGTGTTTTTATCTATTAACTGTTGGATTTGGGGTGAAATATTGTCTATGTGAGGTTCCCAAAAGGATGGTCCAGTGAAACCTACAGGTTCCCGCCTCTGTGCCCCGTGGAAATGATCCAGGAGTTTCAGCTTCCTATGGAAGACATGTAGGTCCCCCCTGAGCTCCGGCCGGGTTGGAGGTTTGGGTGTGGGTATGAATGTGAGTCCCTTTTCCAGTATCTCCAGCTCTGCGGCTGTTAAGGAGAGTGTAGAACAGAGGTTAGTGATGTTAGAATTGAGGGGGGTTGTATTGGAACAATGACCCCCCGTTACCAGTTTAATTGTTGTGACCAGTAATTGAAGATGAGTGTGGCTGTATCTTTTGTCCAGTGAATTAGGTCTTTGGGACAGGTTTGGAAAAGAAGCAGGTTTATTTCTGAAAGAAAGAAAATTTGTTAGTTATAATACTGTTCAGTTTGGTGAGAAGTTCTTGCTTTTTCTCTAGGATTAGAACTGGGCAGAATAGTTCTCAGGGTGACATGAGCGGAGCTGGAGAGAATAAAAATGTTAGATTAGAGGGAAACAAGCTCCAGACTTGTCCTTGTGGATGGCAGAAAGTAACATCAGTTAGAGGCCTTAGAATGCATCAAGGAAGAAAGAGATGTGTTGCAAAGGAAAGGCAGTGTGGCCGGATCGATCGATACTTTGTAAGAAGTCAATCGAATAAGTCGGATGAAGTCCAGCGACAGGTAGAAAGCCACAGTTCGAAGGATATCAACAACACAGCTACAGAGGGGGAAGAGGAGACGACAAGAGGGGATGCAGCTGAGACTGAGGTGAATAGGCCAGTCAGAGAGAGAAATATGGAGCAGAAAACTAGAGTTAAATGGCCGAGGGCAAATAGCAAGAAAGAATGGGAGTCAGTCAATAGAGATTTGTCATTAATTTTAAGCAGACTAGGAGGAAATGCAAGCGATAGACTAGAGAAGATGGGAGATATAATCTACTCTTATGGTGCAGAAAGATTTGGGGTGCAAGACAGAAAGAGAGTTGAAAGAGTACAGCTAGTTAAGTCTAGACGACAAAGGGAAATGGAGAAATTAGTTAAGGAAAGAAGACAATTAAGAAAGCAGTGGAAAAGGGCAACAGAGGAAGAGAGGGGGGGAATCGACGTGTTGCAAGAAGATTTGAGAGGCAGGCTAGCAGTACTTAGAAGGGCTGAATATCTTAGGAAAAAGAGAAAGAAGAAAGAATATGTAAGGACAGCGTTTTACAGGGACCCCTTCAAGTTTGTTAAAGGATTGTTTAACCAGGAAAAGGGAGGGCAGCTTAAAGCAACAAAGTTAGAAGTGCAAAAGTATTTAAGAAACACGTATTCAGACTTGGAGCAGAATAAAGTAGTAGGCCTCCCACCTGACATGCCACCATTAGGACAGATAGTTCATGAGATGGATGTTAGACCACCCAGGTGGAAGGAGGTTGAGGAGGTAGTCAGGCGTGCAAAGGCTTCTTCGGCCCCAGGGCCAAATGGAGTCCCCTACCGGGTTTATAAAAGCGCACCTGATATCCTAAAGTTTTTGTGGAGGCAATTAAGAATAGTTTGGGAGAAACAGGTTATTCCTAGAGCATGGCGTAGGGCAGGAGGTGTTTTTATTCCTAAGGAGAAGGAATCCTCAGACCTGAGTCAGTTTCGCATGATCTCGCTACTTAATGTGGAGGGGAAGATCTTCTTTAGCATAGTCGCACGGAGATTAGCTAGTTATTTAGAAAGGAATAGCCTAATAGATACTGCAGTACAGAAGGCAGGAATACCAGGTTTCGCAGGGTGTATAGAGCACACTAGCATGATTTGGCATCAGATTCAGGCAGCCAAGACAGAGAAAAGAGACTTGCATGTCATATTTTTGGATCTAGCAAATGCGTTTGGTTCAGTGCCACATAGCCTTATTTGGGAGGCGTTTGATTATTTTAGAGTGCCTGGAGTAGTGGTTAATTTAGTAAGGTCGTATTTCCAAGACATTAAACTATGCGTAAGTACAGCAGGCTTTACGACAGGGTGGCAGAGGCTAGAAATAGGCATTATGGCAGGGTGCACGATTTCTCCATTGGCATTCACAATGGCGATGGAGGTAATCATTAGAGCTTCTAAGTGGGTTGTAGGTGGAGAGAGGCGGCAGGATGGGATGCGCCTTACACCAATTAGGGCCTACATGGATGACATGACGTTGATAACTACAACGGTGCCATGTATGAAAAGAGTACTTGAGAGACTTAATAAAAACTTAAAGTGGGCTAGTATGAAAATTAAGCCTAGTAAGTCTAGAAGTATCTCATTAAGTAGAGGGAAGCTAAGTGATAGGAAGTTTGTAATAGACGAAGAGGAAATTCCAATAATTAGGGAAAAATCAGTAAAGAGTCTAGGTAGGTGGTACAAGGCAGACTTGAAGGACGGAGAACAGGTAGTGCAGTTTCGGAAAGATGTTGCCGAGGGACTGGATAGAATAGATAAATCAGGGCTTCCAGGAAAATTGAAGTTGTGGTGTTTGCAGTTCGGATTATTTCCCAGACTGATGTGGCCAATGTCTGTTTATGAGATTCCATTATCTGCTGCAGAAAAAATGGAAAGATTAGTTAGCTTTTACATTAGGAAGTGGCTAGGTGTTCCTAGATGCTTAAGTACGGTGGCACTGTATGGGAAAGGCATACTTCAGCTCCCAGTAACTAGTCTAGTGGAGGAGTTTAAATGTACTAAGGTTAGGACAGAGCTCCTGTTATCTGGGAGTAAAGATGTGGTAGTCAGTAAGGTGGTTCCAAACCCAATCAAGGGGAGAAAGTGGAATCCAAGAATGGCAGTGCAGGAGGCAGAAGCAACGCTCAGGCATACAGAGATTGTGGGTAATGTCCAAATAGGCCGGGGAGGCTTGGGGCTTGGCCCAGGCAAACCGGTGTGGAGTAGAGCAGGTCCCAAGGAAAAGAGAAAGCTAGTGGTGGAACAGGTTCGTAGACAGGAGGAGATATTAAGGGGTGCAAAGGCAGTGGCTCAGGCTAAGCAGGGACAGTGGTTAAATTGGGAAGGTGTAGATAAGAAAAAGCTTAGCTGGAAAGAGCTGTGGAGTATGGAGGAAAGTAGCATTAGATTCTTGATAGGGGCAACATATGATGTATTGCCAACTCCCCAGAACCTAAAACTCTGGGTAAATGGAGACCCGCTATGTGCATTGTGTTCAGGTACTGCAACTCTAAAGCACATTTTGTCAGGCTGTAAGGTTAGTCTGTCGCAAGGCCGGTACACGTGGCGACATAACCAGGTTTTAAAAAGCTTAGCTGCAGGAATAGAAGACCTACGGAGGCAGGCAAATTTAGGAGGGTCTAAAACAAAGAGAGTTGCAATAAAGTTTGTTCAAGAGGGAGAGAAAGTTGGTAAGACAGCAAGGAGGCAAGGCAGCTTAGAGGATGCTTGTGATTGGGAAATGCAGGTAGATTTAGGAGGAAAGCTTGTTGTTCCCCAGGAAATAGCCAGTACAAAGTTAAGGCCTGACATAGTCTTGTGGTCTAGGAGTAGAATGAAAGTATATTTCATAGAGCTGACTGTTCCATGGGAGGCTTCAGTTGAAGAAGCATATGAAAGGAAAAAGCTCAGGTATGTAGAGTTAGGGGCAGAAGCAGAGCAGCGAGGATGGAAAGTTAGGATTTGTCCAGTAGAAGTAGGATGTAGAGGATTTGTAGCAAGGTCTGTTGTCTCTTTGGTAAGGGAGCTAGGAGCAAGTGGACAGAGTGTGAGGAAAATAGTAAAAGACATGTCAGATGAGGCAGCAAGATCCAGTCAGTGGATTTGGATTAGAAGAAGTAATGGTAGCTGGGGGCCCAGCAGGGGGAGCACTTAGGATAGACAGGCTCTTAGGAGAAGCAAGGAAGAAAATCCAGGAAGAGGAAGTGTTTTTAAGTGGAGGGTGTGGCCTGTGTGAGCCTCTTTGAGACCATGCGGTTAGTTCAGGTGAGTTGGTTTGTTTGTATTGCTCTGAATTGGTTTGTAGTGTGTCTCTGACTGTCTAGGCGAGTTTGTTTGTTTTAGGTGAGTTGTTGGAGAGTGGGGGAGTAGGGGGAGGTAGAGCACAGCCTAACCCGGTGGGGGAGAGCTAGCCCAAACAGGCACCTCTCCCTGACTCTACCTCCCTCATTCAAAATGGCCGCCATTTTCTCCAACTGGTTAGGGGAGTTTGTTTGCTGAATCTGCTGGTGTGTTTTGTCCTAGTTGATGATAGTGTTGTTTGTGGTAGCATAGGCAAGGTAAAGGAGAAAATAGTTGTGGTGTGAGGAGCAGTGATGGCTGGCATTAGGGGAGTGACTCTGGGACGCCAGTGATCACTGTCTAGCCTCCTGGAGGTGTCGTGGGACCAACTAGACGAAACACTGGTGAAAGGAGGTTCCCACCTGATGACCCCAAAGACATGTTAGTTATCACTGCTCATTAGTTTGTGTAGCTGAATTAATAGTTATCATAGGGCTTAGGGAGTTATTCACTGAGTCTGGTCCAGTTTTTACAGCACAAGCTTCTTGTGTTTATCCTAAAAAAAATTTGGACTCCAACCTGTGGGAAAAGTTTATTATAGGGATGTAAATGGTTGCATTTGGAAAGCTGGTGTGGCTGGTTTTCAGTAATTGTTGCAGTTGTTTCCAGGTGGTTGTGGTTTCCTGTTCTTGTAGGCAGTTGTTAAGTCCTGTAGATATTACTATGTGTCGTGTATTCTGGTGAGGTGTGAGTTTCTTTAATATTGCATTAATGTGATGAAATGTGGCTCCAGGATGGCTGTCAATCTGAATGCTTGGATTAGTGAACCGTGGGATGGTTGGAGTCCCCTATGATAAGGGTCTCCTTCTGTACCTCCAACGACCATTCCTGTAATTTTCTAAATGTACGTGGGTGTGTATGTGGTTCCGGGTGCCCTGGGGGGCCAGGTGAGGCCACAGAAGCCCTGTTAGAGTTTGAGGTGGATGACTCAGACGTTGAGGAGGAAATCAGCTTTTTGCTTTTCATCTTTTCAACCGTCATCATCGTGTCATTATCCACCTCGGAGGTTGTTTCTCTTTCACAGAGCTCTGTGGCAGAGAGCTCTGGCTCCCTCTGGTGTTGGTGTGGTGTAGTGTTTTCTGTGGATGGAGAGGATGAGATGGTGTTACTGCAGGGTAGAGCAACGTTACTGATAATCTGTGGTTGCTCTTGATGAAAACTGTTGGGTGAAAAAGGGATGTTCGGAGGGGGGGACCGGAGCGTGGGCCTGGGACTCAGCCCGTGCCAACCTGAGACACTCCAGTTTTTTCTTTGGGACTGGGTGGATTACCACTTTTACCTGGCATCTTGGGTTTCTTTTTGGCAGCTGGATCAGGGGCTGAGTCACCTTTTCAGGGTCCGCCAACCCCCCCACCCCCCCATCGTACAAGGGGGTCTGGATGGACGGGTTGTGGGGTTAAGGTATGTCAGGGAGGAGGGAGGAGGGGAAGATTTAGGAGGATGGGGGGGGGGAGGAGAGGTGGGGGAGAAGGGGGGAGAAGGTGGAGGGGTGCAGGGAGGGTTGATGGATTCAAGAGATGGGCCGGATGGTTCTGGTAGTGGGGGAAAGTCCAGGGGGAAGAGCCGAGGTGGAGAGGTGTCCCCCTCCATTTGGGGACCCCTGGATATCAGGTCCCTCAGTTTGTTGACGGAGGAGGACGTTAGCTTCCTCCTGTATCTCGCTCTCCCCCACTGGACTGCTTTATCAAATGATTGTTGGCTGTAGTGAGGAAGATTCTCCAGCTCCACAGCAATAACTGTATCATAATGTTCCCATAATATAACATGTTATTGTGCATCCAGCTGTCTGTGTTTTGTTTAACTTTATTGAATGTGGTGTTGTTGGGGGATGATGGCTTAATAAACAATGTTAGTCTATTAACTTTACGCATCATCCCCTATGGATATGTGTTGTTGAGAAAAGTGTTATTTAAAATTTCAGAAACCACCTGGAGTAATTTGAAATATCTCTTGGTTTGTAAATGTGTCTCTGTTGATATATTATGGGAATTTTGAGGTGAGCTACCCTGTCCTGGTCGGAGAGTGTGGGAGCGACGTGTGCCATTCTCCCTCGTCTCCGTTCCAGGCGGGGCAGCCAGTGTTGAAAATCTATTTGTGAGAGTTATTGTCATGGATGCTGTGAAGATGGAGAAATAGTGGGACTAGGTAAAATGGAGGAAAATCCCAGCTGATACTAGAACTCCCACAGTGGAATAAAAACAATTATCCGCAGTCCTAAACGGGCCATTAGCAGCCACCCAAATAAAAGAAATCAATTAAAAAAATCAATAAAAATAGCGAGCTAAAACCTGTCAAAATAGGGGGGGGCGGGGGGGGGGGGGGGGGGCATGATAAAGCAACAAAATATAGAAAAAATAATGATAGTAATACCTATAAAAATACAAGGGAAGTAAGAAGGGGAAAGAAAGAGTTAAGAGATAAGAAGAAGGGGGAGGGGGGGTGGGGGTTTCAAAAGAGGCAAACTTCCATTTCTAATATAAAAGAGTGTTAGTAAAAGTCATAAAACGATAAAAACTCACATATAACGGGCTAGATAGTGTCTTTAAGCTCCGATGTTCCAGTAGGAGGCGGGGGGGCCCTTTTTGTGGGCTTTCCCCCCGTCACCACACAAACTCCAATAAAACAGATAAAAGCAGTTTTTTTGCAGAGTTTAGGAGAGATGATCCGGTGAGTGGTGAGTTTCAGGATGTCTTCAGTGTGCACATGCTTTTGAAATCTAATAACTCACCACAAAATGTCCGTTTGCTCGTCCTCCTTCGTCATGGTGCTGCTTTAAAATCTGTTTTGAGTTAAAAGAGTGTTCTGTGAGATAAAACCGCTAAAACGACGATCACTGTTCTCAGTTTGATAAAAAATAACAAAAGTTATTTCAATAGGTTTAAGAACACGTTTGCCATATAATAATATAAAACAATAGACCTCAACATTTTGCCATATCACTGCTTCCTCAGGAGATTTGCAAGCCATTAAAAGGTGGAGGTGGGAAACAGTGTCCCTTTTTAAAAGCAAATTAAAATCAAAGGGGGCAAACTGCTTCTAACATGGTCGGGAGTCCCTGACGTTTCGCACGCTTGGTGCTTCCTCAGAGGGATAGAGGAAAGATGGGATCTGTGGGAGAGGGGTCCATTTATGGGGGAAGTTGTAATTTTCCCTCCAATTTTGGATTCCCCTCCCCCAGCTGTCCAGACGTTGGCCCCACCCTGAAATTCAAATGAACCTATCTCTCACAGGTGGAGGTGTGGGCATGGCTGTCAGGTGGATGTTCCTAGCCTATGGTGAGAGGGAGGAAGAAGAGGGAGAAGGAGCGGCCATTTTTGTAGTTCAGGTGAGTGAAGAATCAGGAAGTAGGGAGTGTTCTGTTTAAAGGGAACAGCAGATTATGGTATGCTGTTTGTATGGGGTAGCTGACTCTCTCGGCAGGGGGTCCTTTGATGGAGAGGGTTTATTGTAGCTATGTTTGGAGAGCAGAGAGGAACTGGATCTCCAGACTGGCCTAACTCTAAATGGATGGGGTAAGTATTTTGTTTTTTAGGTCCCGGAATGGGTTATGGTGGATTATGATGAAATTCATTTAGATATTGGACTGGTTACAGTCTCAAAGGGGAGGTGGTTGAGGTTAAAGGTATTTATGGTTCTGTGTAGAATTTATAGTAATTGTAATGATTTTTTGTTTCCAAAAGATGGCGCCAAAGGAGGGCTTCAGTCTGAAGATTGCAGTGGTCCTGGAGATTCCAATGAGGTGGGTAAATTTTCATAGAATCTGATTTAAGTTTCCAGGTTGAGGTTAGGGTTAGGTCAGTGTGGGAGTCTGGTTAGGTTTAGGCATAGAGAGGAGATGGTTAGGGTTAGAAAAAGATATGGTGTAGGTGTAGTTCTAAATGAGAGTCTGGTGATGAAATTGTGTTTCTATGTGTGGGTGGGTAGGTCACAAGGTCAACACACCCCCGGCTCTGGCAGGGTTAGGTGGAGAATGTTATGAAGCTTATTTGTCCTGATTGGAGTCTGGTGCACTGGCCTGGGGGTGTGCCAACATTGTGGACCCTCTCACCGATCCTGTGTAGGTTGTGGTAAGTAAGTGGATGATGTTTTGTTGTGTTATTGTGTGCTTGTAGATGTCAAAAAAATGAAGCAAATAAAAGGTGAGAAAGAAGAATCCAAAGTCTGGCTTATAGGTGAAAGACAGTTTTTTTTATTTTTTGATGAAATGAGTGGTGTTAAATAATCCAGTCCTCTCTGCTCTCTGTTCTCTCCTCAGTTGTGGTTTGCAGCTGGGATGCTGGCTGGCTGGACATGATGAGTGAGTGGGGTGTCCATTACACCCCCCCCCCCCCCCCCAACACTGAAAAGTTGTGTTTTGGTTATTGTTATGTATGTATAATTTGTATACTTAGGTTGTAGTTTAATAAAGTTGTTCATAGTGTCCAGTGTCCTGTGATGGAGAGGGGATTAGTTGTGGGTGTAGACAGAGTGAGGTGGTAGGTGGGTCCCCCCACTGGTGTAACCTAAAAGCAATTGGGTTAATTAACAATCGGTTATAGGTGTAATTGTGTACACCAATGGGAGAACATCCTCCTTGCCGTGCTGGTGGTCCAGTGGATTTGGTCATCGGTGGTGAAGAAGTGTTCCTGTGGGAGTGCATCTAAATACAGTAGGTTATTTTCAATGTGTGTGTTGATCTCCAGATTTTGCTGTTGTTCTGTGGGTAAGAGGTAAGAAAAGTTAATGATTGGGATCCTGATTTCAGCGTTGGGGAAGGCTTGTTTGGCCCTCCTGTACAGAGTACGGAGCTGTTTGATGGATGTTTTGTGAGGATCCTGGTCTCTGTTATTTATTCCCACTGAGAGAATCACCAATCTGGTGAATGGATCTGGGGGTGTTTTTTCCATGATTTGCATGAAATGGTAAAAGTTTGCTCCCGGGTAGCTGTCAGCCTGTATGCTGGGGTTATTGTAAGGGGGAATTGTTTGAATATTAGAGTCACCAAGAATTAGGATGGTTTTGGTGCTCTGAAATTGCCAGTCTTGTATTTTTCTGCTCTGTCTGGCCTGGTGGTATGTGGGGGTGAATGTTGTGGTTGTGTCTTTCTGTTCTGGCAGGTTATTCTCATTGTCAGAGGCGCCCAGTGTCCTACCTTCCTCTTCCTCCCCTTGCTGCACCCGGTGGGTATCTGTAGTTGGTTCAGAAGTGGTTTCAGAGTCTGTCAGTTTGACTTTCTGATTGAGCCTTTTCATCATTTTGCCACTACCCACAGTGTTGGAGACACCAGGTGTTCTTATAGGGTGCAGCTGAGAGGAGGCTTCTGGTGTGGGTGGTTTGTGGGCGCCCTCTGCTGGGGATTGTGTTACAGGGACCAGAGTGGTTTCATCCTGTATCTGCACCGGGTTATGGTTACAGAGGTAAGTGCATTGTTTTTCAATTTTATTGTTGTGTGTTGTTGTAGTTTCTTGTTGTGTGGCTGTCTGTGTAGCTTCAGTTGTCTTTTTTCCAGGCCGCCAGCTACCGCAGGAGTGGAGAGCATCTGCTGTTCCCTGATGTGGGTTACTGTCAGAGGAGAGGGGGAGATAATGACCATTAGAACTCTGGGGTCTGGCAGAGTATGCAGTTTGGGGAGAGAGGCGAAGAGCCTGAGGCGGAGGAACAGAGGAGGATGGTCGTCTCTGTGTTGGTCTTGCCTGCTTGGATGAATACTAAGTAAGTGGGGGTCCTTCCTCTGTGAGGTTGGAGGGTTGGGGGTTCTATGGTTCTGTGGCCCGGATTGGGTTGTACAGAGGGTTCCGGATTGGGAATGGGTGAGTTTAATTCAGGGTATGGGTTATTGTTTACAGGCAAGACCAGATGCTCGTCCTCACTGTCCAGGTCCAGCCCCTCTCCCACCTGGTCATGGAGGATTCTATAGCCCTCTTCTGGCTCTGGGCTATGGAGTGGGGGAGGAAGGGTGGTTAAGGCTGATGAGGAGTGGATGGATGAAGAGGAGGAAGCAGAAGAGAGTGATATTGAATCCTGTTCTAGCAGCATTGTGACTGTGTCGAGAACCTGGGGTTCTAGTCTGGCCCCAAAGTGTCTGATGGCCCAGCTTGTACCAACTTTTTGGGCCAGTTCGTTCCCCGGGCTTTCAATGAGTATGGAGATGGTGTCTTTATAGTGTTGCTGTAATATGTACATGTTATTCTTCATCCAGTTGTCTGTGTTTGTCTGAACCTGGTCATAAACTAGCTGTGTGGGTGATGATGGTTTAATAAACTGAGTGAGCCTTGTGACCTGTCTTGACATTCCTGTAGGTAGTGTCTGTGCTACTATTGCTCTGTCTATTATTCTTTGGTGGTGGACGGCTTGATTGAGCTTGAAGTGGGTCTTGGCAGCTGTTCTGGTGTCCGGATCTAAGGCTAGTCTAGGTGGTGAAGGTGGGTGGTTGGTGGTGATGTTCCCTCTTCCTGTCTGTCTTCTGGGGGCCCGTGGTTCCCTATTTGTGGGGTTTCCCTGTCTGGGTGGGGCATGAGTGGATGAATGGTGGCTAGTAGTGGCCCTACCATCTAACCCCAACCCCTGACCATGCTGGTGTCCTGCTACCTCCGACCCATTACCAAAATAAGAGCTCACCTGGTGGTTTTGTGTCTCCGGTCTCCACAGGTCCTGTCGGTGTTGAGGCCTGGTTTCCCTGGTGCTGTGGCTTGGGTGGTTCCTGGAAGACATATTTTTCCTGGTGGAGATACTGAGAGACAGTGGTGTAATCCTTATACAGAGAGCAGTCCGATGTGATTCCCCGGCCAGGTCGGTTTGATTCCCCATGGCCGGGGAGGGTGGATATGGAATTGGTGCTCACCAGGTGTAGCGCTCTATTTCGGTATTCTAAAACTTAACTTTTATTTCCTTAATTAAAAGGTGGAGGTGGGAAACTGTGTACCTTTTTAAGAGCAAATTAAAATCAAAAGGAGGCAAACTGCTTCCAACATGGTCAGGAGTCCCTGACGTTTCGCACACTTGGTGCTTCCTCAGAGGGATAGAGGAAAGATGGGATCTGAGGGAGAGGAGTCCATTTATGGTGGAATGGGACTGTGGCTTGGGCTGGAACCTGGAGACCCAGGGCTGGTAGCCTGAGTCCTGTGGCTGAGGCTGCTTTGGGAACCAGCGTCTCCATGACCTGCATTTCTTGCCAGGGGCTCCGACCCCTAGATACCTACCAGGAAAGGCTAGCCGGGTTTCCCAAAAAGGAGACGGCTCAGGGTCCTCCTGATCCAAATCTGACAGTGGGTCAGCCAAGGTGGGGGGGTCTGACAACCGATGGGAGTGCTGGCTGGGAAGATTTAGGCTTGCTGTAAGGCAACCTCAAAAAAGCTGGCTACGAAGCTGGCGTAGGCTGCTGGGTCCATTTTTTGGTCGGTTCGTACTGTCACGATATTAAGTAAGGTTGGACCTAAATGCAGCCAAGACAAGGGAGACAGTGAAAAATGTTTAATAAACAGAAGAACCTACAAAAACTGGGGAACTAACCAAACAGGAAGCAGAAGCACGGGGAAACACAGGGAACTTCAACAGATAACACAGGGGACATGAACAGGAACCAAAAGCACAAGGTAACACAAGGAACAAGAACAGCAAGCTAAAGCACAAAGTAACACTGGGGAGTTAAACAGGAAGCTGAAGCACAAGGAAACACAGGGGACTTCAAACAGAAACCAGAAGCACAAGGTAACACAAGGAACTTGGACTGGTAACACAGGGGACATGAGCAGACTAACTGACCAAACTAATACACATAACACAAAAGCTGAAAACATGAATTGTCCATCATGGCAACCCATGACAATATCATCACAACTGTCATTTTTAGGCATAACTACTTTTCTCTTTTCTCCATCTCTATTAGTAGCTTTTATATAGCTGTTACACTCACACACAGATTGACACTCACACACACACACACACACACACACACACACACACAGTCAATCAACACAAAAGTATTCAATTCTTATTATTTTTCTTTGTTGTTTTCTCACGTGTTTGGTTCAATCTTTTTCACTATTACACTTGTCTTCACTTGTTTTGGAATCACAAATAAAGGAAAAGAAAACAAAAGAAATGCCAAAGCTTTTCTGCTGTGAAAATCAGACCGAACACATCTGGACACATTGTAGTTCGATGGTCAGAACTTAGTTTAATGCATTGTACCATGTTAGTTCAGTGCTAACTTGCGTCATTGTATGGGAAACAGACCCCGGGAGGTTATAGGTTTGAAAACTGAAAGAAGTCTGCTGCAAAGACTTTTTTTTTTTTAAATGACCCTGACGTGTGAAGTTGCTTTAAAATATTTTCACTTAGCTTTTCACTGCCCTGGAGCAATAGCTGCAAATATTTATAAATATGACTGCAAGTGGAAAAAAATGGAAAACCTACTGTAATTATCCTATTGATATGACAAATAAAATATTTTGATCTCCAGATGAAACAAAGTTAATATGATACCATGTGATATTACTGTTCAGCTTCTCTTAATCTGTGAAAAATAGCTTTCTAGTGATATTTAGAAAAACACAGAACACTAATTACTGTTAAATTCTGACTGGGCCTGTTATCATGTCTGAAAATTTAAATAATCACTGAAGTTTCTGCTACTGTGCCATCTGGGAGTAAAATTACCCAAAGCCCATCTCTCAAATCAGAGACTATCATTGAGCACACATCATTCCTGCTGCTGCACTTGTTCCTGATGACTATAGGTATATCAGCTCCACAGAAAAGATACAACATTCTACAAGTTGTTGTGGGAAACTCATGGAACACACAAACGATACATCAAAAACTGGACTTTCTCATCCACTGCAGGAGAGTGGTTTAGGGAAGTAGCTTTATCAAAGAGGCAGGGAAGTCAAGCAGGGTTTATACTCTGTCCAAGCTGCATCAGATCATCAGATAGCTTTAGAAACCCCCTCCCTCCAAAAACCTACAAATCTCAAGTACCTCTTAAGGTAAGATAAGCCCACAGTTCAATCCAGACATCAGCTACATCACTCAAAGACATTAGACACTCAGTTTAATAACTGATAGAGGTTATTAACTGATAAGTTAGAACTTAGTAGTCAGTGCTCATTTAATCATTCATGAGTTGTAATTTACTGTTGGGTATGAAATCAATTGTGACTGACCCTTCTGTATAGTAGAGACTGTATGTGCAGGCAGGAAGTGGCACCTTTTACACAATATAATCAAAATACTATAATAAGAAAAAATACTTTTTTACATTTCAACTACAATAACCAAACAAAATACTAACTTTATGAAACTTTTTACAGCATTGGCATCCTTACAAGAAGAGCTGCTCCATAA